TACAGAGTCGAATTTCTGAGTCTCCTTTTAAAAGTTAAGTAAGTCTTAGAACCTCTAAAAAAGTTCAAAGAAATTTTTAGGGTTTTGATGAAAAATGATTTGCATTAGTAGATTAACCCAAAACTTCAAAAGTCCGAGTCTGTACTGCCAGAGTGGTAGCATTTTTCTAGGAAATGGACCTATCTGATTGAGAATTTTGAGAAACCTGTTTTGATTCTTGTTGTAGAAACATCTCGGGAACAGAAATAGATGAAACAAAAACGAATGCCATTACCATACTTTGACATAGCCGTCATTCACTAAATGTTCCGTCCAGATCAGACTTGTAGTTACCGAAACAGATTTCTGACAGGAGGTAGCCTTAAAATGGCTACCTTCTGTTTAACGCAGATATTTTGATACGAAGGTCTTCGAATTTCGTTTTTCTACTTTTAATCGGCACCAAATATACTTTTAGAAACACTGTAAAAGAATTTTTTCTGAGGTAGTTCTTCTTTTGTTAGCAACGAAAATTTAAAAAAAACATCGATGAACACAAATATACCAAAACACATAGAGACAAATGAAGGAGCTGTCCTATAAAGTCGTGCTATGCATATGTTAAAATACTAAGTCCTGTTTAGTATTTTGCGTATAGCAAACCGAAAAACAGCAGAAACTTCTTCAAAAAGAAAACTACTACGCTAGAGCATCGGTTGCAAACATTTGGTAGTACTATTGTCTTATCCAATGCAGTATACTGCACTAGATAAGAAGACACTAGATAAAGCGAGTGAACAAATCGCGTCCGATAACAGAATAATAAGCATCCTTGATGAACATTGATTAGAAACTATAAGATGAAACACAATAAGATTCAAGAGTTTCTCTTGTCTCTTAAAACGTACATACTTTGCGTCTGAGAGAATGAATTCATTCGCTATTCGTTGTGATATTAAGTCCTAGTTTGTTTACCATATGTTTAATGTATCTCTAACAATGACTGTATCTGTTATTGATTCAAGAACTGAACGTACGATAAAGAATAGAAGCAACGATCATCAAATTCATCAAAACCTTAAAAGTAAGTCACTTAAGAATATTCCTCTCTTTCTTGCAAAAAACTTTTCATTTTGAGCTGAACGTAGCATAACATAGAGGAAAGTATGGGCTATAAAATGAGACCACCCCTAGCTCTCTACAACCTTACTTGACAAAGTTATAAAGTTTTTCCTTTATTTACATAGACTTTTACATAGACTGCTCTTCAAACTGAGACATCTTCCAGAATTTTCGATGAGTTTCCGTGGTGATATAAGTATCACCGTAAATACCCTGAAAAACAGAGCCATGTGTACAATATACGTTTTTCTCACTGCGCGTTTTTTCTATAGTCCCTTCAATCCAGTCACATTACGACTCCTCGAATAAATGGGTATTTCTAAAAGACGCGTAAACCCACGACAGCCACGAACACCCCCAAATTAAAGTCTGAGTTAGCCAGTCGATAGAGCTCCTCGAACTGAGTATAGCAACGCCTAACGAACACCCAAAAATGTTTTTATAGTTTTGCTTTTTAAGCATACATTTTCAATGAACACCCAAAAAACACCCACGAACACCTAAAAGGAAGGGTAAGAACACCCAAAGAAGTGTGCCAAATTCACATCCAGGTTGTTCTGAGCCTACTGGTAGACTGAGGGTGGGGAGTGAGGTACTGGCAGGCTCAGAACAGCCTGGATGTGAATTTGGCGCACTTTTTTGGGTGTTCTTACCCTTCCTTTGGGTGTTCATGGATGTTCGTGGGTGTTCATTGAAAATATATGCTTAAAAAGCGAAACTATAAAAAATCTTTTGGGTGTTCGTTAGGCGTTGTTATACTCAGCTCGAGGAGTTCTATCGGTTGGATAGCTCAAATTTTAATTTGAAGGTGTTCGTGGGTGTTCACGTCTTTTAAAAATACACCGAATAAACGGTCTGATCGAGCTTTAACTTTATGACAGAAAACTTTACGAAAGATACTTTAGACTCTATCTCAGGTTCGCTTTTTTAAGCGTTTTTCATTTCAACTTTCGGCGTGAGAAGGCTTTTAAAATAAAAACCTGTTTTTTTTATACAAAATTTTTAGTATTTTTCGAATATCTCGAGAAGGAGAGCATATTTGTTTCGAAGTTGTTCAAGTTTCTTATAATGCATCGAAAGAAAGCATATTTTTCGAAAAGAGAAGAAACGAACCTGAGATAGGATCTAAAGTATCTGTGGTAAAATTTTCAGCTCGATCGGACCATTTTTTCGAGAGGTCGTAATGTGACTGGATGAAAACTAGAGTTTTCAAGAAAACCTATAGAAGAACATGTCAGAAAATTCTGGACAAAAATACATCGACTTTCTTTTTAGATGTTCTGTCTCTGATATAAATTTCACCCCGATCAAACATCGGCTGCCGCGGTTTTCGAGAGATTCAAAAAAGAGGCGGGTATTCTTAAATAATGAAAAACACAGTTTACAACACTCCATTTTTTTGTCTTTCTATATCTACTTTTCACGGTTGAATGATTTGATGTACTATTAATCACGTTATTTTATAGCATAGTACTAACAAGTGAGTGTCTGACAACATATTTGTTAATGATTTTTTTAAAAATAATTCTCTGATATATCAGAAAGCTCGAAATCGCCTTTCTTTGCCTGTATCATTCTTTTCATTTATGTCTTACACATAGTTGTCACTTATTCTTATCATAAGTCATAATCAGCAAATAAGACCAATCGACTGCCAATTTTCACTATGAATACCAATGTTACTCCGAGCAATAATGATGACTACGTTATTATAAATGAACGTTCAGAGTCGTCCACAACTAGTACTCCCACAAGTTTTCAGTCATTTAATACAAGCCAAGATGAAGAAATTGAATTTTCTGCTTGGAAGATGTTTAAAAGACACATTCCTCGATTGATTATAACTGTTCTCGCTGATATCGCATTGCCTCTCATACTCTATTACGTTTTACAAAAACATATGTCTTCAGTTTATGCCTTATTAATTGCCGGAAGTCCGGCTCTTATTATGGTAGTGGGAAAAGCCGTTTGGTCACGAACGTTTGATGCTATTGGTTTCCTAGTATTTGTTGGATTTACTATCTCGGCTATTGTCGCCATAGCCACTAAAAATGCTCGTGTATTAGTATTGGAAAAATCCCTGATTACAGCTGTTATGGCTGTGATATTTTTAGTGAGTCTCATACCACTCCACATAAAATGTGGACAAAAAATTAATCTGAAACTGAGACCATTGGTTTATTATTTTTATATGGATTTAGTACCAATGGGAGCGAAACAAGCTGGTCTGAGTCGAGTGATCATGGATGATCAAAACAGTAATATATATTCAGAATTGCAAGAACAAATAGACGTATCTCAGTCAACTCCTGAAAGATTCGTTGAACCATCTAAAATAGAAGTATCCGTTGTTTACAATTGGATTTATACTCATTGTTCAAGTTTTCGCTATGCATGTTATTTTCTCACAATTATTTGGGCTATTGGATTTCTGATTGAATTCGGTGGACGACTTATGCTCATCTTCACTCGTTTGTCCATAAATCAAATAGTTTTGTATGCTAATGTGATATTGGGAGTTGTTTCATCAGTATGTGCAATTTCCTCGGTGATTATTATAATTTTAGAAAGACGAAGAACAATACAACAAATTAAAGCATGGAAATTAGAATATCTACATCGCACATCTGCTCCTTCTACCCATACACAAATTTGGACAGTAAATACGTAATAAAATCTGGAATTAACGTTTTGTAAGAATTATTAATCAGATTAATGTCATGAATCTATTCGTTTTTTTACTGAGTAGTTGAAACCGTAAAACTTGCTACATGCCATTTGGATAAAATTGTTCAATGAACACACCGATCTTTTCTTGTATTTTCTCTTAGTCTAACTAAGAAATGTCTTGGGCTAACTTAAAATAGTTTTGAATTGATTTTCAATTTAGATATACGTCAACTCGAGTATCTCAATATCAATTCATGTGCATAATATTTTACTATTATTGTTACATATTTTCACTTTTAAATGTTTTTACCATCATTCTAAATATTTATGATCAAATATCACCGATTCAACTAAAAAAAAATCATGTTCTTTATGAAAAAGACAGGTCTGTTACTGTGAACAGCCAGTTTTATCTGCAACAATATATACAATGGAATTCTACTATTCAACGTTTGATCAATTCATTTGAAAATAATGATCGATATTTCCTAAATGATTTGACTAGAGAGAGACATGCATTAAGTCTATCGCTCAAAGAACAAAATTTATGTAGTATAAATAGTTTTCAAAAACTGTTCTCGTCGAAATGAAATATATTATAGTTTCTCCTTGGACATTAATTTAAATCAAATCGATAGCATTCATAGCTGGACAAGTTACACGGTTTGTAGAAAAATGCTCAAATTTTAGTAGACTTCGTTCCTTTCTCTATTCTAAGACATGACTATGGAGTCTTGAGTACTCGCCTACTGTGTTGATAAAAAATGGAGTTTTCTTCAATTTTATCTTTATAATTACTTTTTGAGAAAGGTAAAAATCACTTATAAAGTCATCGTTTTTCCGTGGAGCACTTTTATGTAATACTAGATTAAAATTCTCAACCTAGTCATGTATTTTACCCTAAAAGTCGCCATAAAAACCTGGTTTCCTTGATTGATGATTTAGTTGATTTTTCAGACCAAGTCACAAGTCAAGTAGAGTCATGAGTCACAAAAACATTTACCAAGTCAAGTCACTTCATTTTTAACTTGACTTGCCCAGCTCTGATTATTTTTATATATATTTTACTCTCACTTAGGTGAATAAAATAGGATTGAATATATTTGTTTGGACAGATGAGATTACATTAAAAGCAAACGTGATAGTGATGATCATAATTTATTTAATAAAGTTGATCAAAATTGTTACTGTCAAATGTCCATAATTTAAATAGTTAAGAGTAAGATGTAGTAAACCTGACAAACCGGGTTGAACATTCCGACCATCGCATATTGTTAGAATCTGTTGGATCCGTATGGAAAGGACCGTGTCGGATTTTAGAAGCATCTCGAATACCAGGTTTTGTGCAGCTCTTAACGACGGATCAGTATCGTCATCAAAATCCAAAAATTCTAAGTGATTTTTGAAAAGTTTTTCTAGAGATCTTCCAGAAAACCCTTATCTTCAAAAGTGATATTTTGCATGAGTACATAAGTTTCATTTATTAATATAGCAGTTTAACAAAACTACAGGGTCTCTTTGCCGGTACGCGGTATCAATGGTAACTAGTATCTCTTGGGACAGGAGATACACTCATTACTCAAAAAGAGCAGTCCTAGTAAGGGGAAAACCACGTTGTCGATACGGTTTGGCGAGTTGACTAGGCCTGCACTGTCAGGCGCACAAAATATTACTTATGAAGATAAGGATTTCTAGACGCCCTCTAAAAAAACGTTTTAAAAATTACTTAGAATCTTTGATTTTGACGACGATGGCGTATAGTGGACACCAGCAAATGTATATTTTGAAAATTGCAAGCACTGGGCATATTTCTAAAGTGATTTTCGAAGGATCGACTTTTTGTTGCAGCGCATGAAGCGGTTGGAAAAAAACCAAAATGGTTCTGAAAATGTTTTCTTTTCAATACCACCCAAACCTCTACAAAACAACCTTGGACTCGAGTGGTGAATATGTGTCTTCTCAGAAATACTCTTTGTTCAGACTCCGTTTTGAGTACCATCAAAGCTATGAAATTTTTTTGTGCTTTGACTATTGGTTACATCTCTTTACATAATTTTAATCAAAAGATCTTTTGTCGGCCGAATCTAACTCGATTTTTATCGGAAGATCTTAGAATCCGAAGTTTTCCGTTACAAGGTACAATGGATTTTTTCGTTACATAAATGTATTTGTACTTCATCTTCTCTGTCCAAACTGTAGCCATCATCATTCATCGATTTCTCAGTGCTATTGCATTCCAGCGAGAGCTTTTGTACTTATCCTACGTTTTGTCCACTTTTAATGCTTCTTGATCAAAATCACATTATATCTCAAATTATTTTATTTCAAAAGAATCGACACACAAAAAAAATAAATAGATAAATAGATTGTATAAAAAACAACCAGAGAAAATAGAAAAAGAAACTACCTTTATATCACTTGTACAGAATACTTATCTATCGCATCCCACTTATTTGTCACTATCATGGAAAATGAATACGAATTTTTCAGGGAATAGTACTGAGAACAACCACAAAAATAGACAAATTTTCCTAGCATTATAATCAGAACAAAAAACGGAAAATATATCTGCTGAAAAAAACAAACAGTTCATTTAGTTGTCATTTAATTCAAAAAAAAGATAGAGCAAGAAAAAGTTACAATATCTGAAAGAAAAACAACAAAAGCAAATCTCATTCAATTTATAATGCAAAATCACAGTCTGTATATTATCGTTAAATTGTCTTTTGATTGTGATGTTTGTTAATATACGGTGTCACCGCATACATCATTTTTTACACTAATTTCAAACTACGAATGTGTTTTTTCACCATTCATTAAGGGTTCAATGTTCGATGAAAGATTTTGATCTAAAAATGAATTAAACGATGTAACATGTTTAATTTCATTTTTCAACTTTTCCACATTTTTTACATTAAACATGAAACACTGTAAAATTATTATGTGAAGGTCAAAATAACCAGATCATGACCTGTTATTGTTAAAAAAATCAGTAGTTGCCAGATTTTTCACGGATGAAAAAGTTGACATCTATTATTAGGAAAAAAACGAATGGACTCGGATGTTTCTTGAATAATGTTTGACAGGAAAGTGGTAGAGGTTTGCGGTATTTGCCAATTAGAAGCCAAGACCTGAGCACATCTTTTCAACGCAAACGTCATTTTGAATTTGAAAATCTTCTTTCAGAGTACGTTTTCCAAAGGACCTTTAGAAAATCATGTTATTACTAAAAAACTTATTATAAAAATATTTTTGTTTTTTTCATGGATAGGTAGTTTAAAGTGTCCACTTCAAAGTGGGAGTCAAGCAAGACCTTGATTTTCAGCGATTTGATCATGATATCTGACTTCATTAGAGTCCCAGGACTGGCATCTGGTGACTTGGGATGACCTTGAGATCGCATGAAACATACGTAATCGACCGCACCGAATCTCGTGGCAATGTTTGTTCTACAGAAATTGGAGTTTCCAGGTTGTTTTCACCTAATAGTAAAAAATTTACAATTCACTCAAAAAAACACCACAACGAGTTCAAAACTTCAGGGTATTGCTAAATTTGTTTGATAAACGTGATTAAATTGTAAATTTTTTACTATTAGCTGAAAACAATCTGGAAACCCCAGTTTTTGTAAAATACAGTTTTCACCAGATTTTGGAATTCTTTCTTCAAAACAAACATTGCCACGCGATTGAATGCGGTCGCAATCCCAAGTCACC